ACAGCTAATTCCAAGATCAGGAAACAGGACCTCATACATGTCACTGAACTCTATGGACTTTAAGCAAACGACATCTGGGGTAGACAGCTAATTCCGAGATCAGGAAACAGGACCTCTTGCTTAGTAACCGTAACTATTCTCATGTTGTTAGCTTTGCTCAATTACTGTCATCTTTCCTCCGAGTCATCTCATATGCCATAAAGACACTTTTAAGTATTGTGCTTATCTTTCTAATCGTTTCCTTCATGAAAGGAAAATGCATCGGTTAAGTTAGCCTAACCAGTAGCTAGTGCCATTAGCTGATTACTGATCTGGCATCCCACTCCACAGACCAGACCCTTTTGGGGCCCTTTGTTGTTGTTGAAGCTTGTTTTGGACCCTTTCGCATCAACCACATCATATTATAGCTTTGTGCGCGACACACTGTTAATTCTAATATCACCAAACAAACCATACATGTTAAGCTATGGCATCCCCCAATATTATCAGTCCAATCTCAAATGCTATGCTTCGGTTTAACCTATATCCTAGAGAAGAGGCTAACTTACACTAAAGGCATGCAGTTGCCACTTAAGAAATGTAGCCTTACACACCAAAGAAACATTTCAGTCCAACAGGAAGATTATCCAGATGCCTTTTAAGTTTGTCAGCTATGCACAACTGCACCTTAGACTCCCCAATTCCCCACCATGATAAATTTACCTTAGACCAATTTATGCTGGGATGATTGCCCATCTGTAACCATTCTTTATCAGAAGATTAGCTCAAAGTAACCAAACTATTCCCTTCCCACAAGACTAGTGGTGGTGGTGATGTGCCAGGAAGTCGGTTCTGACTCAGCAGTCCTGGATAGGGTTTTCAAGGCTATAAATCTTTACAGGAGCAGAAAGCCTCATCTTTCTCCCATGGAGCAGCTCGTGGTTTCGAAGTGCTGACCTTGAGGTTAGCAGCCCAACTCGCAACCACTACGCTACCAAAGAGCTCCCGTGGGACTACACCCTAAAAAATATCAAAAGTAGTATGATTCATACCCTCAAGGAGTATTTTGTTGTTGTTGTTAAGTGCCGTTGAGTTGCTTCCCTGCATAGCGACCCTGTACAGGGTTTCCGAGGAGCAGCTGGTGAGCTTGAACCGCTGACCTTGCAGTTCAAACGGCTTTAGAGTCTGACGCATTAAACCACAGCGCCACACCAGCACTCCTCAAGGAATATATATGTCCCTAAATAGAAGGTCCAATTACAAAATATTAATGGACTTGTGTCTGAGTTACCCATCCTAGGCCTAGGCATTTCCCCCCTTAGTTGGCTGGAGAATAGAGAACACTGTACTTTCTAAGCATCCATGTCCAGGGCTTCCAAATAGTCTAAATATCCACTAGATACCCTCCTAAGACTTCTAGGTATTCAATCCTATAATCAAAATATACACTGTACTAATGATCTGAAAATCCTCATTCAAAACAAGATTCTTTATCAGACTATAATTCAATCACTGATAAACTTAAGAGCACCTAAGTATTCTTCCATCCCTTCTAAGTAACTATGAAATTCCTCAACTTGATAAATCTATTCATAACCTATCTGCTCAAATGGTTGACAATATTGAAGATGGAATGTCTGTCCAACAGAAATCTTTAATCTCTTGCTAAAGTTGGGGGAGGGTGCCATCTATATCAGTTGCAACTTATAGTGACCCTATATAGGGTTTCTGAGGCTGTAAATCTTTGTTGTTGTTGTTATTATGTGCCGTGGAGTCGGTTCCGACTCATAATCCTCACCTTTCTCCCATAGAGCGTCTGGTAGATTTAACTGTTAACCTGACGATTAACAGCCCAACTTGTAAACTCACTACACTACCAGAGGTCTTTAAATAGTTCTTCATTTCCTGTGGTTCAGCAAAGACTCTGCACCATTATCAATACTTCCAATTCATCTTAGTAAATACAAGAGAACTAGAACTTCCATTTAGGAAATGAAGAAACAGAGGCTTACGTAAGTTAAAGGACTTACTCAAATTTAGTGGTCCCATCTAATCAGTAAGGAGCTTTGGTAGTGTAGTGGTTACGAGTCGGGCTATCAACCTTAAGGTCAGCAGTTCGAAACTACCAGCGGTTCTGTGGGAGAAAGATGAGGCGTTCTGCTTCGGTAAAGATTTACAGCCTCGGAAACCCCTTTCAGGGTCACTGTGAGTGGGAAGCGACTCCACGGAACTTAACAACAAATCTAATTAGTGGTGGCATCAGAGCCTGTCCACTTTACTCATTACATTGCAATACTGACTTTTTCCACACACATAGAATTCAGCTTGTGTTCAGTTTCCTAACAGTTCATTTATAACGCTCTTACAACTACCTTTTTCTTTTTTTCCTACGCTATACTTGTTGTTGTTGTTAGGTGCCATC